AGATTGCTTCAGCTCCTGGCAGGCGTCGTCTTGACCGTCTCAAACAGCCCGACGCAGATCAGTGTGAGCCCCTGCAACCTAGCAGACTTAAACTCAAAGATCCAAAACCCTCAAGCTGTGAGCCTGGTTAGACCCAGCGCTAAACTCAGCCAAACTCAGCCGAACTTGGACTGATCAAGGCATTCTGTAGGTTGTCATGATACGCCCATGATAACACCAAGTCGCAATTATAATAACCCTACCTGTAACGTTCTCGCCGTCCGTTGCCCTAAACCCTAAGCCCCATTGAACCTCCAAGTAGATTGGCCATTGCTTAGCCGCCGAAGCAACGAATCTCAAGGCGTGAGTCCTTGAATTTCAGCTAGTGGGCTCAAAAATCATTTCATTTCGTCAAAGTAGATCATGAATAATTCAATTCAAGATATGTTCTTCTTAATTCTAATTCTGCTAATCATTGCTATTTTTGTTCACGATATTATTCTACAATATAGAATGAATTATTAATAGACAATATTATATAAAGCTCTTATTGAATATATATTGAATTATATTATTGAAATCTTTTGGGATATAGATAAATATATATATATTTATATTCATATAATTATCATAATATTATATATAAATATTTGCTTCGTATATTTATATTTATATATTCTATTCTTATATATAGATATAATTATAATTATCTATAAATATATTTAGATAATTAATATTTATATATATACAGATATTTATTTATTTATTATAAATACTTAGTATTTAAGAAATAAATTATTATAATTCTTAATAAGATATTCGGGCCTCTGAAGAGATAGATTTTTGTCGTTCTATTTATATACGAAATATATTCTAAAATATATTTCGCCTTATATTAATATATAGATTGCTTCAGCTCCTGGCAGGCGTCGGCTTGACCGTCTTAAGCAGCCCGACACAGATTAATGAGAGCCCCTGCAACCTAGCAGACTTCAACTTAAAGATCCCAAACCCTTAAGCTGTGAGCTTGGTTAGACTTAGCGCTAAACTCAGCCGAACTTGGATTGATCAAGGCATTCTGTAGGTTGTCATAATACGCCCATAATAATAACCCTATCTGTAATGTTCTCGCCGTCCGTTGCCCTAAACCCTAAGCCCCATTGAACCTCCAAGTAGACTGGCCATTACTTAGCCGCCGAAGCAGCGAATCTCAAGGCGTGAGTCCTTGAATTTCAGCTAATGGACTCAAAAATCATTTCATTTCGTCAAGTAGATCATGAATAATTCAATTCAAGATATTTTCTTCTTAATTCTAATTCTACTAATTATTGCTATTTTTGTTCACGATATTATTCTATAATATAGAATAATAAATTATTCTATAATATAGAATGAATTATTAATAGACAATATTATATAAATCTCTTATTGAATATATATTGAATTATATTATTAAAATCTTTTGGGATATATATAAATATATATTTAAATATTTTTATATTCATATAATTATCATAATATTATATATAAATATTTGCTTCATATATTTATATTCATATATTCTATTCTTATATATATATAACGATAATTATCTATAAATTTATTTAGATAATTAATATTTATATATATATAGATATTTATTTATTTATTATAAATACTTAGTGTTTAAGAAATAAATCATCATAATTCTTAATAAGATATTCGGGTCTCTAAAGAGATAGATTTTTGTCGTTCTATTTATATACGAAATATATTCCAAAATATATTTCGCCTCATATTCTTGAAATATACTCTCATATCCTTTGAATTAGATGAATTTATAAGGGAAGATTGAAATTTAGAATAGATTGATGAATAAAAGAGTTTTTTTTTCTATTTAATGTAAATTGGAAATATGATATTTATTTGATGAGGATGTCTTCATATTTGTTAATCATTTTTGTTCTAAGGTTGTAAGTATCTAGGTATATGTATATATATTTTTTTTGTTTTTCATTCCTATACTTAGGTATAAAAAGGTGCATATATAGTCTCTGACTTTCCTTTATCCATCTGCAGCGCAGAGCATAGTACGCGGCGTCTTGGTGCCTCTCTAACGCATTTTGCGACAAGGCCCACTTGTCACCGAACACGAATGGCAGGTCGCATCTCCTGCCCATTTTGTGTAATAGTCCCCACCGCAGTAGTAGCATTGATACTGTTCTTTCACGCATGGTCCGTACCTCATGACCGGATTGCCGTTGCACGCCGCTTCGTCCTTTTCTGTCGAGAGGTATCCGTGAAAGTTGCAGCACACGACGCGACTCTGCGCGGTTGTTTCGGCTTCGGCTCCTTTGATCACTTGGTGACGTGTTGTTCCACCCTGCTGGATGAGGCCAACGCAAAGCATCGTCAAAGGGAACAGGAGCATGAGTTGTCTGGATTTGGACAAACAAGGAGACTGCTTGCTTCTGCGTGCTAAGTGATACAGGCTTGGGCCACGCAAGAGGGCGACGGAAGGAGAAGGACTTGAGCTGATGCAGGTGTACGTACTTCGCACGACTTCAAGCTGTTCAAGCAAATGGGTTTAGATCTCGGTCTAGGGAATCCGGGAAAAGGTCCGCAGTGGCAAAATTACTACTCTCGCCAATACGAAATAACAAGCCTAGTCTTTCTCATGATGAGTATAACAATAACACTCACCGTCATCATAGTCATCATCATCCTCCTGTTTAGTATCTATCACCAGCAGCAACATAGCCATCGTCATCGTCATTGTCACTATCACCGTCGCAGTCACCGAACTCATCACCACCAGCACCATTCATGGCCGTTTCAACAATACTTTCACCGAGTATCGCATCGAACCACCCGCTCCTACCGAATCGAACCGCAACATCTGAAAACGAACCACCTCCCACCTCCCCACCCACCTCCCCACCCACCTCCCACACCCCGCCCCACCTCCCAGCCCACCTCTCCACCACCCACCCCGCCTCCACCCCTCCTCCCTGAAGGGGGAGATGCCTGGGTGGGAGGGGCAGGGACGGAGGAGGAGGGGTGGGGAGGTCGAAGGAAGCCGCAGGCAACTCCAACCGTACCGAACCGAACCGTAACACCCATGACCATCATCATCATCACCGTGATCCTCATCATCACCATCATCGCCGTCATCATCGTCCTCACCATCATCACCACCAGTCTGTTGCTATGAGCATGGTCTTCTGCTTCCCCCACTGCCACCGACATAGTCATAGTAAGGATATCCTCACAGACTGGTAAAGATCCACCCGGAAGGGCTCTAAACCCTAAAACTCTAAAAAACATCTACTCACGAAGAGGCTTCGAGGCAGAAATCTCACGGGTCTCCCGGCTGTCGCAGCAAGGTTCCCTCGCCTGGTTTCGGGCAGGGGCCCGAAACAAGGGGATCCCCTAAGATAGAACATGAACGGCGGGATCCTCGTTTTGAGGACCCGAAAGACCCCTAAACCCTAAACCCCTAAACCCTACTCACTCCAGATCGGCAGCGGCACGAGGCGCGTTGCAAAAGGCCCAGCAGGAGAAATCTCGGTCGTGCAACAAACAGCATGAAGCTTTGGTTTAACCCGAAACCCTAAATAAGCCTAAACCCTAAAGGCCCGCAAATCCTTAAACCTGAACAAACCCCGAAAACCCTTAGCTTCCCAACCCTGAAAACCCTAAACCCCCATAATGCCTTTGCAGCACGGGGAGGGTCGTTGCGGGCGTTGAAATTTTAGGGCTCTTCGACTGTGCAATCGCAGGCATAGGGTAGCACATGGTAGCACAAAGCAGCGGTTGAAATAAAAGCAATCACAATAGCTATTGAACTAGTTATATCAGTACTACTAAGAACCTCTTCAGAAGAAGCATGATAACAACAACAAGACAACTATTCACAACACTATTCACGATGAAAGAAAAGTGTCGGAACAATGGGTATCGGTATTCGAATCCACTGTCGTCCGTATGTCTAAATCCAGCAGAACGCACCCTGTAAGCCCCCATTCACGGCGAGACGCTGGGCTGCGAGCACCAGTATGGACAGCCAGGAAGGAAGCCTGGCATCCAGAAAGTAGGGTGTTTAGGGTGTAGGGTTTAGGGTTTAGGGCGTAAAAGGAGTGAAAAACCAATCAGGGGTTGAGGGCGTGTTGGGTTTTCAGGTTCAGGGTCTTGAGTACGGTGGGTGACAGGGTGGCATTAGGCCTCCGATCAGTTCGCAGGGAAGTGTAGGGAAACAAGATGGAAAACAAGACAAACCGAAACATATCTGAATGCCAGCAAGTGAATGACTGTCACCTGCTGCACCTCATCTGCGTCCACCTCTGCACACCAAGCGCCCTGAACAAAAACGACATCAGCACGAAGGTGGGCAAGGAGAAAAAGCACTATCGGCCTCGGAAGTCTTGGCTTTGATTTAACTTCGGTGTCGGGTTTCTATAGGGTTTAAGGGTTTAGGGGTCTGCCAAGAGTCGATTGGATAGGGCTTCAGTACAGGCTCCCTCCCGGGATGGAGAAAGGCCCCGACAAGGCTTTCTCCTGTCATGCAAGTAGTAGCCTCCTCTGAGACAGGCTTAAAACAGCCAAGACGATCCATCCATTGCTAACTCCACGAAACCTGTCGGGTCTAGGACAGTGTCTAGTCGCAAAGATGGCTTGGTGTAGAATACGAGTAAACCCCGAACGTCAAACCTTCAATCTACCGGACAAGGAACAGCTGGAAGCCAACAAAGAAATAGTTGACGTACCATCCACCCAGCCATCCAATGGTGACCTCGTTGCAAAAGGCGGAAATGACGAGGCCCTCCCACCAAGCTGCTGTAACCCAGACCAAGCCCCTAAACCCTAAACACCCTAAACCCTAAACCTTCCAGCTCTGTGAACCCTCAACCTTTTAAATTGCAACACACAGAAACTCATCGAGCCCTGAACCCTAAACCCGTCCATACCACCCTAACCCCAAAATCCCTAAACTCCTAAAATACCCGTAGTAACCCCGGATCCGTGCTGCCTACACGCTTTTTAATCTTGCAGCTGGCCCTGGGGAGTCTAGGGTATCGGGCTTAAGGACTCCAATTTAAGGTTTAGGGTAAGTTTAGGTTTCAAGGTGGACTGTTCGGGATTTTGGATTGGCTTCACTTTGAGGATTTCTGACGGGTGGAATAGGTGTGTGTGTGTGTATGTATGTATGTATGCATGCATGCATGTATGTATGTAGATATGTAGATAGATATATATATATATATTCATGACATGTACAGAGAAAGCAGATGAAACTCTCTCTGACTGTCTGTCTTTCCGTCCGTCTGTCCGTCTGTGTCTGTCTGCCTGCCTGCCTGCCTGCCTGTCTGTCTGTTTGTCTGTCTGTCTCTGTGTGTCTCTCTTTCTCTTTACAAATGTATTTCCTAATCTAAACCTCACTTTGATTAACTGGTTGTGCTATCTATATATATATATACATATATATATATACAAGAGTGCCGAACAATGGTCATCAATGACGTCCGATTCGTTCAACATATGGGGCAGAACTTTGAAGCCTGAGTTCCCAAGTGCAGCGGGATGATGGGAATCGAAGCCCAATACCCCTGCATGAAAGAATACTCCCTGCATGATCATATCCGCCTCTTCGCCTCTCTGGGAAGACATTGCAAGGAGATGTCTCGCACCCCTCCAAGAAAGCCATAATTACCCAAGAAACTTAGAATGGCTTAGAAACCCTAAACCCTAAACCCCCTAAGCCCTTAACCCTCTAAACCCT